AGAAGAAGAAGAAGAAGAAGAAGAAGAAGAAGAAGAAGAAGAAGAAGAAGAAGAAGAAGAAGAAGAAGAAGAAGAAGAAGAAGAAGAAGAAGAAGAAGAAGAAGAAGAAGAAGAAGAAGAAGAAGAAGAAGAAGAAGAAGAAGAAGAAGAAGAAGAAGAAGAAGAAGAAGAGATTTCACTTGACCCCTGGGCTAGTACCTAATTGTTCCAAAAGTGGTAGTTTGGGCTGGATGACCTCTGGGGACCCTTCCAGCTCCATTACCCTTTTCACAAGTCCTCTTGCTGCAACAGATATCCTCCACCCTTACACCTGCCCGCGCTTTCCTTTCTTCCCTTAACCAACCCATTTGGTGTCTTGTCTCTCTCCGATATTTCATCCTGTCCTCTCGGCTCCCCTTCCTTCATCCATCAAAATCCCGTAGAATTTCCCTTCCATCTTTTGGGGTATTAGCTCTCCCACCCATCATCCCTGGAGTTGACAGCTATAAAACGAGCACTTACAGGAGCTGGAGTGACGGGGAGAGGAGGGGAGCGGGGTTCCTCCTTAATGCAAAGGATAGCCAGGAGACCCCAGACCCCAAATATTCCTCCCTGTTCATATGCATGTTGGGAAATGCAGCCCAGAGACTGGAAGGGCTGAAGTGGCAACTTGCATCGGTATTGAAAGTTACAACATTGAATAAAGTGGACTTAAGACCAGTCCTCGCACTTATGACGACTGCGGCAGCCTCATGGCCACGTGATCAGAAATTCAGGGTGCTTGGCAACTGACTTGTATTTATGATGGCCGCAGCATCCTGGGGTCACGTGAGTTCCCCCCCCCCCTTTTTTTTTTCAATCTTCTGATGAGCAAAGCCAAGGGAGAAATCCAGATTCACTTAACGACCGTGTGACTCACTGAACCTCCGCAGGGGTTCGCTTAGCAACGTGGGCAGGAAACAGGATGAAAACCGCTTAATGACAGCCTCGCTCCCTAAAGAAGTGCAGCGTTTCCCTTAACGACCCTGGCAAGAAAGGTTGTAAAATGGGAGACGGAGGGGGGGTGGAAGTGGAACACTTTGCCACTGAAATGTGGGGGCCGTAAGTCAAGGACCGCCTATACTTTAGCAAATCAAATACTCTGGAATAAATTAGTCATCAATAAGCAGAAGAGGTATTTAAAAATAGAAGATGGAAAAAAAGAAATTAAGCCTGAGATTGATGAGTTACACAGATAACCCTCAATTTTTGTCCCGTTGCCCAGAAATACCCGGGTCGTACTTGAACCCTCGACTGGCTCTTCTCTCCAACATCCAACCTGAGCCGGGGACGAAACAATAGATACGTCGGAAAAGGAGACATTTTAATTGCAAAGCCAAGCTGACATTCACCGAGTGCTCCAAGGTTTATATCAACGGCGGCTGCCACAGCAAATCCAGCTTCTCGGGTCAGATGGTGCCAGCTCTTATCTCTTGGCGAGCTGGCACTTCAGTTTCCCGTCACCTTTCTTCTGCCCACCCCTTCTTCTTTTTAGTACCTCGCGCACCGTGCAGAGGGCAGGAAGCGACGGTGGTGAAAAGAAAAGGGAGCTGAGCGGAAGACTGGCGGGGTAAAGCCAGATAGGAATCGCAGCCGGATGAGCTGACTCCGCTTCCTTGTAAAGCTGGAGTGACGGAATCGTGCTTGAGTTTGAAAGGACAACTCTTCCCCTCCCTGTGTCCTTTGCAGCCTGAGAAACTGGGGAGGGTCTCTCTTTTGAGACTCTTGCCCCTTCTGTTACCCAGCGGAGGGCTCAGCTGTCTGTTATCTGACCGTTCTTTTGGCTGTGCTGCAAGAACCTTGCAGGTCTGAAAAGACAATTCTCCTGCCTTCTCCTTTATAGTCTGAGAAACTAGGGAGGGTCTCTTCTGAGTCCCTTTCTCCGCTCATTGTGCAGCTATGCAGTCTCTTATCTGACCATCCCCTTGGCTGGGTCTCCTTTTCTCCTCTCCCAAGGTCCTTCTCATCTAGCCCTACAAGAACCTTGCAAGCCTGAAAATACAAGTCTCCCCTGGTCTCCTTTACAGCCTGAGA